GAAGCAATACACTTTTGATTATAGATGCAAGCACAGGCTATGAAGGAAAGATCAACCGAAAGCTCAACTTTACAGACAACTTTGTAAATTGAAACTTAAACCACAACCCATTGGGAGTTTTTCTTCTAGATACAAAGTCTAGGCATGGGCTTGCTTTTTCAGGCGACGACTTTGCTCACAATAGTGATAGTTATTCATGGTCTTGAGGCATGATGAGGAATCATGGGCAAGTGCATAAAAACGGAACGCGTCGATTTTACGAGATATAAGGGTTCTGATGTAATGGTTAATAAGATATTTGAGTCACTACGTCATAGGAACAAATTGTCTGACGGAAAAATATAATAGTAATTAGGATTAGTAACCTTAGGAAAGCAAACGCCTTTATTTTTTTAGGCAGCACCTAATCTTATTGGCTAGCTAATACAGCATAAGCGCTAGAGACGTTCCAATAGTTGGTACTATCACATATGATTTTTGGTTAACAGAAACGGATAACAATTGTGAATGTGAAAGCTTAATAATTGGTTAACACTTGGGATTTTTTTCTGAATTTCACCGATGAGCAGTCTACTTTTTTACTATTATAATTTCGCTTCTATCTACTGATAGATCACATGCCGATCATCCCTCTTTTTTAATAATCCCTGTTTAGGAAAACCGTGGCTCTCGACCTCGCTCTTAACCTGTTCTTACTTGACTCGACCTCGGCCCACGCTAAAGCTCTATCCACGGGTGACGTCACCTCTTCCCTTGATCCAGTCGCTCCAGCCTCTTCAGATCCTTTGCCAAATACGCAGGATTGCTTTTCAAAGGTGTCAAACATATATTCTACCCTTCTACTTGGGGAAGCCGGAGACAGTCTTGCTCGTAGCTATGCTTTCTCAACAGACGAATATCGGGATTCTTTTGACAATGCCGAAGAGGATGTACTTACTAGCCAGCCTGATATGATAAAGTCAGTAGTTTCGTTAATCTTATCAATTACATCTAAATATCCCCTCCTAAATATTCCTCTTCTTTCGTCTCAATCAGCAGCTCTTCATCATCACCCTCTGGAATCCCTCCTGCCATGTGGCGTCAGCTCACTTTAATGTGGCGTGACAAAGTAGTATCCAGGACCTCATCTAAATCAGCCAAACTGAGTAGTCACGCCGATTTTTTACCACGAATGCAGGATGAGTCCGAACACCAAGGAAAGCTTAAAGATAGCTCCAGTAAAGAAGTAGTGCAGGAAGATAATAACACTCTATCAGAGCACTCGGGAGGATGGCAAATTGAGGAGTTTGATGGATCTTTCGATTTAATATCGGGAAATTGTGACCCAAAGGCCACCTCCGGACCTAGCTCAGAGGAAGCTACTTCAGAAAGTGGACACTCGAAATCCGTTTCTTCATATTCATTTATAGAAGGTCATCTATTCTTTTACCTTCATTGCTCATCTTTATATGACTTTTAGAAAACCTTACTAGTACTGGACTATATTATTAATTTAGTTATGAATATTTTTCTCCAATTTTTGCTCATTCAGGCCGTCATGCAATCTATGATTCAGGAGAATCATCCGAATATTCTACTCTCCCGACCAATATTGTTTGTCTTCAAGAAAATTCAAAGCCCTTAATCGAGTCTACGCATCCCAATAATCATCTCTCTCTTGATGTCAAAGAGGCTAATCTCCCAACTACCACAAGTCTTTTTAGTCATTCAGATGCCTGGATCCTGGACTTCTTGTCAGCCAGGACTAAGGACAATGAAGTTGAAGAATATGATGTCAGTGGTTACGATGTTGATGAGGCTGATGATATTGAAGATACAGATCCGGCAGCATTAATGCGAGAAACTGAGCTAGATACTTTCAATCCATCTGCATACTGCAAGATTCCAAATCTGCTTGACCAACAAGTTCTTCGCAGGCGCAGCTCGATCCTAAAGTCGCCATCATCCAATAGTTTAACGAGTGAGACCTCATTCTTATTTCGTGAACTGACGTTTCTGTATTTCTTATCCCTCTCATAGTAAGTGAAATTAAAATTGAGCTTTTTCTCTTGAAAATAGGTTGGGTTGCTTTTCCGTGCAGCACAAGACCATATGGAAATTTAAAAAGAGATACCGTTTTATGTATTATAATGTTCAAGACAAATGCCTTTTATAGATTTCACTTTGCTTTAGCTACATTCTATGTTTAATACGTTTTTTTATAAAACTATTGTACTTTTCCTTTTTTTCCGTAGACTGACTTATTATTGGGTTTCAGTACCCTTAGTGACTTATCGTAAGTATTAGAACAAAGATGGAGTTGGTTTGACCTCTTTCTCGCAACTAAATCGTGTTGACCCTCTAGGCCTCATAGAACACACCAGTCCTGTTTCCTCAACCATATCAATCGTCATGTCTAGAATCGGACCGTTTACTAGAAAAAATTCAGACGTTTAGTCGGATTCGCCA